AAATGCTAGAACAGAAAAATTGCACGAGAGAGAGAGGAAGGGTAAGCTACTAGTATTGAATCCCACTTTGAACTTGAAGGAGCTAATGTCACAAGAACTAGCAATGAAACATGCCCCCCAAAATAGGTGTACAAGGTGTAGAAGTGAAAGTCCTTTAAGATTTCATAGATTTCATAGACATTTGGGCTGGAAGGGACCCCGGAGGATCATTGAGTCCAGCCCCCTGCTCCAGGGGCAGGAATTCAGCAGGGAACATAGGATCCCAGCAAGATAAGCATCCAAATGTGTTCTGAAGTTGTTCAAAGTGGGTGCTTGAACTGCCTCAGGTGGCAGTCTGGTCCAAACCTTGGGGGCCCGGACAGTGAAGAAGTTCCTTCTTATGTCCAGCCTGAAACGGTCATAGTGGAGTTTGTGACCGTTCGATCTGGTCATCCCCTGGGGGGCTGATGACTAAGCATGATGACTGTTGGGAGTTCCTGACTTTGAGTACTGAAGCGGCTCTTACTGATAGCCTTGAGCATAACCAATTTGGAAATCTGAATGATGTTGAATAAACTGCATTGCAGCATCAGGGACCTACAGATAACGCACTGATCTGAGAACAAAATGCGCATGGTCAGGCCAGTACTGGGCTAGCCATGGCAGCAAGTTCCCTAAAACCAAACCAGGCCTGAAAAGCTACGACATTCAGCTCTGAGCTGCGTCCAAGTTTCCAAATGCGAGGTTTGGATTTGGGACCACAAGATATCGAGCCCAATTCTGCATGTGGGCCCTGGCAGGACTTTTTTTCAATAGAAATGGGGCCAGTCACAGTGGCATGTTGAGGCTGTCTTTGCAGAAGATTATAACCAACAGGATGACAGTCACATTTTCTTCATGTTTGCAGGGGACAGGACTAGAAGTAAAGGGTCTAAATATAATGCAGTGGAGGAGATTTAGATCAGCTAACAATGAAGGTGGTTATACTTTAGGACAGGTTCCCTGGAGGTAGTGGGATCTCCATTCATGGGAGCTTTAAAGCACAGATTCGATGCGTTTTTCTGGGGTGTTTTAGAGAGGGAGTGATCCTGTTTGGGACCCCTTCTACCCCTATTTTTCTAGGACTCTACATTCATCATAAAACAGCCTGCTATACAGGGAAGCCAGGCATCCTATTTGTGCAACTCTCATCTTGCTCCATGACACAGTAATGCAAGGCAGTGCCTGTACTGATCCGGTGTCCAGTGACAGCCAGAGCCCATCTTGATCTCTGTTTTGGATCCAGAAGCTAATTTTAAATTGGACGACTCATGCCTCTCTGTTTTTTAAGGACACAAACAGTAACTGATCCTCCCACCGCCTGCCCTCAAGTGCAAACACATCACTGAAATCTTGCTTCGCCCCTTAACGATTTTCAGCCCCCGTTAGATCCAAAAGAAATGAACAGAGCAGTTAAATATAGGGGAGGAAATACGTTCTCCCAAAAATACAACCCTGACCTGGAATTCAGGAAGGGACTAGAAGAGCGAGTGCTGCCCCCGTAAGAGGCTAATGGTGTGGGTTTCTCTTATTCTCCAGGTGGAGATGTCTCCACACAATGCAACCCACGTTTAAAGCCAACAATCACTGTTCACTTTTTGCTTTGCTTTTCCCAGGGGGAGCCACCTGAAGCCTCTCACATGCAAGAATCACAATGAGAAGAGCAGGAAAAGGCTTCTCAGCTCACAGCTGAGAGATCCCCTCCCGCCTCCCTCTCCCCCCGCAAGCCTGCAGGATTCACAAGCTGGACAGCAGCAAACCATTTTTAACAAAGGTTTTTTTGCCTAAATTGTAACAGCAAGAGTAGGGCTGGGCAGGTACCTTGCTCATTCCACTCCCCATGACAGCTCGATGCAGGTTCTCGCTCAGTTACCTGCAGAGAAAAAGCAAAACAGGCCCGTGAGATCCACCGGCTGCCAAGGTGCATACAGCTGCAGAGGTGAGTTTGCAGAGCCCCGGGAAACTCAGCTCACTTACCAGTGGCAGCAGCTCTGTCCAGGGCTCAGCCTCTCCGTGGGACGAGAGAACGGGGAGGACTGCAGCCACGGCAGGGCAGAGGATGAAATATGGTTCTCAGGACGTGCTGTGGCTCAGGTTTCTCTTCCGGATTCCTTGTCTCTCTGGGGCTCCTGCCCACACAGCCAAGCTTTCTCAGCTAAGTCGCTCATCTCGCCGTCACTCCCCAGTGCCACCTGGCTTCCTTCATCCCTGGAGCTCACAGGAAGGTGATCAAAAGCCCCAAGGCAGCACAGTCAGATAGTAACAGGACACCTTCCCCAGTGCAGCCGGGTAGCATCTCTGCTGCAGCCTGGCTCCTTCCCCTGCCAAATATTTGAATCTTCCCTTCCCCCTTTCAGGATCTGCTCCAGGTATTTGCCTTCACTGCTCTCCCCAGTAGCAGAAGCCTCCAGAGTCAAGTTTCCCATTGATTATTTTCCTTCCGGGTCCAAATTCCTTTCCATTCTGTTAAAATCAGCAATATTATTTCTGACAGCGCTGGGCTGAAAGCAGGATTAGGGCAAAATTCTCTGGTTGGCACTCATGGAAATGCAGAATCACTTCGTTAAATCACGTGGCATTTTGATTCACACTTACAGGCACGAGATCAGAATCAGGCACACGTACTGTAATACAGCATCTTCATTTGGACCCACACAGAAACGTCAAGTAATGGACCATGTATTTGCATAAGCGAAGGCTTACAGCATCTGTTCCTCCCTCCCCGCAGAGTGGATGAGACAAACTCTTCTCCGAAGCAGCACAAGATTGGATTTCCACCACCCCCACTCCTGAAATCTAAGTTTATAAAATGGATACAGGTAATTGCCTGCAAAGGATGGTCAAGACAGATGATTGCTTGCATTGCTTTTCCTCTGTGAGCACTGTTAAAGTCCTGATATTAAATATTCACCTTACAGCCTGGGATGGAGCACTCGAGTTAGGAAAATCTCTTATGAGGAGGGTAGTAAAGCACTGGAACAAGTTACCCAGAGAGGTAGTGGATTCTCCATCCTTGGAGGTTTTGCAGACCCTACTAGACAAAGCCTTGGCTGGGATGATGTAGCTGGGGCTGGTCCTGCTTTAAGCAGGGGGTTGGACTGGATGTGACCTCCTGAGGTTCCTTCCAACCCTATGATTCTGTGCCTAAATCTGCTTCTGTGTGGACCAAATTCTCAAGAAGCAGTCAAAGCAGTGTGGGGGGAGGGAAAGGGAAGGACACCCAACTCTAGCTTCCCATATTTGACTGGGAGAAATGATCCTTCAACACTTTAAGCATATATAATGCATTCCCTACACTTATCGAACTGGCACTGCAATGCACAAAGGACAGCCCCCTGGTAAACTCCTCACCAACCTTCCTTTCCAAGGCAGCAGAACAGTCAGCTTTACTGCTAATACAGTTGAACCAACTGCACTGCAGCCACCTCTAACACACTGCCCCCAAGGCAGCACATTTTAGGTAAGGGAAGATTTTTCAAGAGCACAAATGTTTGAACCACTCCCATGAAGTCAGTAGGACTGCCTGTGGCAGCCTTCCTCCAACCACTATGCATGTTGAACAGGCCCTGTATTGAACAAGCTTTGACCATGGCTTAGGCAGATACTCTCTAGCCCCTTTCCATGCTTGCATTTAATGCCTAAGTATCTCCACAGCCCTCCTCCCCCTTGCATTCATGCCATCCACATGCAAACAGGGGAGGAAGGGAAGCATTATCTTCACTTCTGCATGCAAGGAAAGAGGCTGAAATTAAAACAATCATTTTTATAGAAGTGGCCCCTGAATGTAGATGCCCAATTTTAAACACCGAGGACAAGGCTTTCCTGAAGCACAGCAAAACTTATGCCAAAAGGCTGCTTTTGAGCCTTCTGGACTAAGCAATTTGCTCACAGAAATGCAGACCATGTATGAGATGCTTCATGTGGCACATGCCAGTGTCATCAGTGAAGGACCTAATTGTATAGCACAATGTTAGAGAGACATGGATTATCTACCTTGGGTTTCCTATAGCACCAAGTCCCCATACTGTGAAAGCATTTTCAGCTGCACAAAGGAGGTACTTTGTCTTTACATCTCCTAAATGTGAGGCCCCAAATGCAGTTCTTCTGTCTTAGTAGTATAAACTGGATCTAGAGAAAAGTGCAGAACTTTTTCCTAATACAAGGCAGTGCTATGCATGTATTTCCACAGGAGCAGTGCTACTGCCATTCCTCAGAGCAATGGGGTCCAGTGCTGGGAAGTGTCCCCCCCCCCATCAGAGCATGAAAGCAACGAAGGGGAACTGAGTTAGAGTGAGTTGTCAACCCCACCCTTTAAATCCATCACCTAATCCAAACCAGATTGGTTCTTGCAACGATGTTGAGAAGAATGAGACTGTTCCAAAAAGAGAAAGACACACGGGTCATGGAAACTGATCTGCTTCTCTGCATACTCCAGGCAGCAGCACTAATTTCTGATTGGATCTGAAGAAAAAACAAAAACCTTCCTAGACACTTCAGCATCCCTCTGTTATGACCCTGGCACAGGAACTGCTAATGAAAGCTTGGAAGTCCTGCTACCAGACAGAAGTACATGAGCAGAGCACTGCACTACTGCAGGAACACACAAAAAAACCCTAACTCTCAGCACAAATGAATGCAAGATCACATGCTGAAGTTTTTTAAACTGCATCTTTAATCTTGCTCTCCAAGAAATTAGATCCCCTCTATTAACTGGAAAGATGAGCACTTTGTTCCCTTTTGCCAACTCTAATGCTGATCCATACATCAAGTCATGACAACATGGTAGTGTTTAGAAAGGACTTTGTCCCTTAGCAAATTACAGCCAACAATGAAAGCACTTAAGATCAATATGAAAAACGTTCACGTAAACCAGATGTTTATTAGCATGTATATTGAAGTGGAGGATTTGTTCCAGTACAGAAGCAATGAGGTCACAGATATGTAATGGAATCATTGCAAATTCAAGCAGAACAGGTCCAGTGGTTCCAGGAGTCATTTTATTTCTTCCATTCGTTCTTCTCATAATCCCACTTGGAAGAAATGCCTTCAATGGGATTAACTCTCATATCCAGCATTCTCTTGGTCTGCTTGGCCACCCAGTCTTCAGAAAGGGTGTGAGGGACAGGCATAAGAACTGCAATTCAAAAATCAGTTGGGGTTTTGAGATACAAGGGAGTTAGTAACTTTTGTGCCTAGGGAATGGAATATGCTCTTCCCCATTCTCAGAGCAACTGCCCTATTGCTAATATATGTTCAAATACCCGCCCAGCATAGGTCAGCTGAGAACTATTTTGAAATGCTTTTGCCTTGTTTCCTATAGATTCTGAGCCTCCTGTTACAGCTACTTTACAAAAGGTATCACAGACAAAAGCCAGCCTTCTCCTGCTAGCCTACGCTGTTACCAGGTGATCATATGATGGCTAGGAGTTCTAATGACTCACTGCTGCACAAAGCTAGTTTGACTGCAGTGTGCACATGATGGGCAGAAGAGCTGCTCTCTCATCTAGCCTGGAGATTTTGAGCACGAGAGGAACCAGAGTGCAGCCTGACGCAGCAAGCAGGCTTAGGGAGAATCTGCTGTTCTTCATTTCTTTGCAATTAGAACCAAATATGCAGGAAGGGATGAAGTCAGACTCTGCACAGAATTGCCTGAATTTTGCAGAGAAGTAGAGCAGTGGGATAGCTGCAAGACCATTTCCTCAACTACATCTTTCTGCAATTGTAGTCCCCAACTGCTTGAGTCATTTATCTGCAACTGTAAAGCTCAAAAAGCCTCAGGATTTTGTGAATCATCACTTGGTGACAAACAGTGGTAGTTATCAGTACAGTGCAAGACTAGAATCATCACTATAATGCAAGACTAGAGTTTTGGCAGTTTCCAAGTTTTCTTATTTTATTTTTTGTCTGAAGTGCACAGAAGCTTTGGGACGGGAAGGATTTAAAAGTACTAAGGTGGTTCTTCCAAGCCATTTACTTACCATACTTTTTCTCCCATATGAGGATCAAGCCGCAGAAGCCAAGGAAGAAGGCAGTGGCACCAAGAACTGTCTTCCACTCCTTTGTTCCCTTGTTCATTTCAGCAAAACTCTGATTGAATTTGATACGATACACTGAAAAGAAAGTTTCAAGATGTTCTCTTTATTCTCTAGCGTGCAAACATTGTAGACATTCAGATAGGCCTCCCCTTTGTAGGGATGAGAGATTTGTAAGGCCAGTTCTAAAGCACAAGGATGTTATAACAACTTTGCAATTAAGCTACATCTTTCATGCAAAAAGACAGGCATTTCACATAGGTTAGTACATGCTGTTGAACTGCACTGCTGGCTCTGTAGATGGAGAAACCAACACACTAGCAAGAAAGATCTTTTGCTGGAAGTCTTGCAATAAGTCTGACGGATTCACTCACCAGATTTGTTTGAATAGGAATGGTTTTACAGCTAAGTGAGTCAGGGTATCTGGGTCTTATCCCTGCTTCTAAGTTTCTTAAGGCTTTTAAGAAAGCTATTTCCATTCTGTTATGAATCAAGCCTCATAGCTTTTTTTTTTTTTTTTAAAGTTACTGGGGGCAGCGAGGGCAGATCAAATGTTTCTTGCATTTAAGAGATGCTTCGAAGAGACAGCACATCATGGCTTACAGGCCAACTACATGCATCTAGAGTCATTTTAATAAAGACACTACCATTGTCTGTGCCAATCCTGTACTGTAAAGCCCTCACTTAATACCTGGACCAACAGACTTTCATCTCTCCCATTACTTTAACCAAACTTACGGCAATGTTTAGGCTACTTTCATACTTTATTACAGTTCTGTGCAATTAATATGATCAGCCATTGTTCAAAGTGGCAAGGTACAAGACCTTCTTGAACTTCGGGCAGTTGGCTCACCACAGAACACAGCACCATGCAATGTCAGAAAAGCTGGGTTAGATAAGGAGGAGTCAGGAGGTGTAAAGTGTTAAGCCAAGTCTGAAACCTAGATTCACTTTCCAGTTTCCCTCTCCTTCAGCCAGCAACTTCATCTACAGCAGTGGTCTCCAAAGTGGGGTGCGTGCACCCCAGGGGGTGTGCAAGACAATCCACTGGGGTGCAGGAAGATACTAGAACTTCTGTTTCTATAAACATACATGTATTGGGGGTGCATGCTCAAAAATTTTTTTTTACTGATGGGGTGCGCGATCAAAAAAAGTTGAGACCACTGATCTACAGGATGTAAGGAGCTTTGTCTGAACCATCCAACTGAAGGACTTAGACACATATGGTGGCTGCAAAATAGGAGTAAAGTAGAAAGAGGGAAAGACAGGAGATCTAAAGATCTACCACAAAAAATGTTTCCAAGGAAGGCAGGAGTAAGCTAGTCATCCTTGCTGCTCATGAGTGCAGGATATGGCCTACACACCAGTCCGGCTTAAGAGAGAGACCTCTGAAAACAGGACTCTTAAGAAGAGCTATTGGCTGAAACAGCTAGGTACTCAGAAGCAAAGACAAGGATCATGCAAAGCAACTTTGAAACAGCCTCAAGTTGCTAAGTCAGCACTTCTAACTGCTCTAAAACCTCTACCAGAGAGCCCTCAAAAGATGTCCAGGTGTTTAGTGCTGCAGCCAACTGCTGATGCTGCACTCTTTCTTATCTGCTTCAGTCGATTAATGCCCCCCGTCGTTCCCCCCCCCCCCAAGTATCTCTGCACTGCCTCAAGAGTTTCAACCCGCAAAAATCCATTTACAGGATTAGCCTTAGACCCCTTTACTGCATTCTTTGTCCTTTCCCAGGAGCATTTCCATCAACAGTGATTGCATAAAAGATCAGATTGGCAGCAAGAGGGTCGACTGGCTTTCAAAAATGAAATACCTACGTGCAACTTTCTCATCAATGGACAGGGCGTTCCATGATGCCTTTTCCTTTTCCTTCAGGGCCTTCTGCTCAACAGAGAGATTCTTCACATATTGTGCATCAGGCAGGGGAATGTTACGACGATCCACGTAAGCTGGGAGGCTGGCGTCCTCCATGCCCACAACAACTGCTGTAAACAAGGGTGGGAGGAAAGAAAGGAAAACTTAGAATTTTTATTTGACATACTAGAGCCAAAAAAATTGAAGTCCTATCAGCAACAATATTAAGATTCCCCACAAATAAAGCAGATGTCAAGGAGTCTTATAAGGGAAGTGTGCTTCTAGACAAGTTATTTCCCCCACAACTGCTGTTGAAGATAACAATAAACCAAGGAGATTACATTTGCTCTACATCCAGGTTACCTTACGTATATCTATCATACAGCAAGGAAGAAGATAAGGATTTTAAAACTTTTTAAAATACAAAGTTAGGCGGGGGGGGGGTCCTAGCTTCAGGTATCACACCTCCCACTAAGTACTATTCTCCCTGACATTTCAAATAGTGGATCTTCCTTTAAGTATTTGGGAAGTAACCAAATTATGTTTTCCTTTACAATTTCTTCCAATCCCCTCTCTCTGGATTGATTCCACAATCCCTGAAGTGCTAATGCTGTTCTCTGACACCACGTACTGGTGATGGCACAGATTAATAACACGCTTTCAATCACTCGGGCACTTGTGTTTCACCATTCTTCGTTTCTGCTTCTGTTGTCTTGCTTCCACCCCCTCCAGGTAGTTTTTGCTAGATACTAGTCTAATATTCCATTGTCTTCAAACACAGAAAAGTCAGAAATGTTCAGCCTATGTTAGGATGTTATTTCTTCAGCTAGCCACACACCCAAAAAGAGGCCTGATCCTTGACAGAGTGTACTGCTAAAACAACTGCGCTGAATGCAGCACATTTGGCCCTACGGAAGTTGCTATTAAAAGGATATAAAGGTGCAAGCTCAGAATAATTATAATTTAAGTGTGCACTTAAGACTTAAGGAAGCTTTATGTTGCTTTGCTCAGGAGAAATGTGAAGAGGCAGACCACAATTTTATTGAACAATGTAGCAGTCATTAAAAATGGATATTCTTTCTAAGCAAAGTCTTGTTACAGCATGTCAGATGGCTTTCTACTCCTCCTTACTTCTACCAATGAAGAACCTGGATTTGATAGGAGCTTGCATTTTTCAAAATTTAAAGCTCAGGATAAGGGGACATAGAAATAACTGAAGGTTCTCTCTTTTCCTATTTCTGTGCAACAGGAAAAGCAAACAACATACCTTGTCCATGTGCTCTCATGCAGATGGAAGTAGAAATGGCTCGCTTGCCAACTAAACTAAATGCCCTAGACGCCAACATCCTATGGGAGAGAAAAAATAAAAAAAAGCAGATAGTTACTAGTCAAAGATGGCAGATTCATATATATAACTGGAGGAAATCTACACCCTATGCATTAGAACAGCATTCCCAACCTTTTTGGACTCAAGGCCCCCCTCACTCCTAACCTGCACCCCCCAGCCCCTCACTCCCAAACTGCTGCCCCCCACACCCAGGCTCCAGCCGCTCAGTGTGTGGGGCAGGAGGTGGGTATGCATATGCCCCCCCAAAACATTTCTGCACCCACAAAGTGTGTCAAGAAAGTGTAAAGAAAACACTGCAACAAATCAATCCATTTAAAAAAAATCCTGGACTCCTTATTCAGGCTTTTCCACTGGCCCCTGTGCAGCGTCTAGCCCAAGGCGCTGTCAAGGACAGCAGGTCTCCAGCTTTTCAGCTGATTAACCCCAAGCTCAGTCAAAAGTTCTCACAAGCACCTTATATTTATAGCAAATGTAGGAAGAAGGTAATGGTGTTTGAAAAGGTAACATCAGGCCTAAAAACACTATGTGAGGCGCTTCAAGGGCTGGCAGGGAATACTTGACCTTGCAAGGGGACTGCACTGGGGACCAGAAAGCAAGCGTCTCTTTGTGATACCACAACAACACCTCCGCTCCCTCCTGACCTGCCAGAGACAAGCTGCTGGAAGGACCGAGGAGGCCTCAATTCTGTACCTGAACCCACTATATCCTTGCGGGGATTTTACAGATAGAGCTGGTCACCAAATGCAAAACCACCCCAATGAAGGGGCTCTGCTCCATACCAGCCTCCCTGCCCTACTCTACCAGGCCCAGCCCTTTAAACACAGCGCTCGGGTCCCCTCCCCTGGCTGCAGGGAAGCAGGAAGCTGCAGGGGGAGGGAAAGGGGAAGGGGAAGTGGGCAGGCACAGAGCCTGCAGTGCATGGGGCCCCATCCCCCCC